ACAGAGCCCGAGGAGGCAGGGGTTAGGCCTGTTCATGAGAGAGGAGACTACTCCTACAGGGCCAGGGGGTCGTGTGCGGCTGTAGACAGAACAGGCAGAGCCCTGTTTGTTGGGCAAAGGCATGCAGTGGACGTCCAGTTAGAGGACATGAGACCAGCTGTCTTGGGGTCCTACAGGAGCCACGTGGACCTGTGGCCTGAATGCCATCAGTGCCTGGGGTGGACCTGAGTTAGGGGTCAACCCAACATCAGCAATCACCACCCTGGAAAGTAAGCAGGACTCAGCCGGGGCCCAGGGCAGCAGAGGGAAGGTGGCCTGCTGCCCACAGACATTCCTGCAGCCCCGCTGTGTGCGAGCCCCCAGTTCTGGTCACCGAGTCAGGTCGCCTCGTGCAGCGTCCTCCTCCTTCACTGACCCTCTGCTATGCCAGCCTGATGCCCCTCTCCAGGGACTGGCCACCCTGCTATCATGCTCTCAGTACGTGAGCCCAAGTGTCACGTGCTGTCCTCTGAGTGGCGCTCTGGTTGCACTTCCTCCCAGCCAGCTGTCTTTCTCTGGAAGTCTGTGGCATATTCCACACTCTTTGCCAACACCACGCTTGACAGGCATCAAATCGTCCACCTTTCTCATTCACCACCAGCTTCCACATGCACGTGGAGCTATTCACATTGCCGCTGAACCAGAAGGGAGGCCCAGCTGACTCGGGGTCCTGAGGCTGGAAATCACCGTGAGACCGTCCACCTCTATCCAGGGCAGCTGCTGCTGGGCAGGGTTTGGAGTGGAGCCGCTACAGGTTGGGGCCACTGGCACTCTCTGTCCCTCTCCCTCTCTGTTCAGGCCACGTGCAGGCTCCAGCAGGCCAATCAACAGCTCCAGGCGTCCAGCAGTGGAGTGCAGAGAGGACAGACAGCCAAGGAGTCGGAGGGTGATTGCACCGAGGTTCTTGACTCAAGTAGCAAAAGAACACCCACAGTGGCTCTGGCGTCACCAAGTCCCCAGGGAGGACCCAAGCTCCCTGGCTGAGCACTACAGAGACACATGACGGGGCCTAGGGTCATCTGCTGGTCCTGGAGGACATCAGCTAAAGGTCACAGAGACCTGGGCTGGAAACCTGGGAGCTACTGGTTTTCATTTCCTCCCGTGCAGCAAGAAGCAGCAGTCATTTCTGGACTCGGGGATGTGGGCGCAGAGTCTATAAATCAGAGCCGGCAGGGCAGGGTGGTAGCGCATCCACTTCGCCCCTGCTGGGTTCTGCGGCCAGGCCTCCGCGTCTGCGGCCAGACCTCGCCGGGTGCACCGTGACCAGGTACCACTGTGCGGAAGGAGCTTGGTGCCCCCCTGCTCTGAGCACACAGTCAGGCCCCACCCATCCCCCCCAGGCTCCTTACTGAGATACAGGGGACACAAGCTATGTCCTTCCTCATGAGAAGAAATGCAGAGCTGGGCTGGGGGTTCAGGGTCAGGGCAGGGACAGGGGGTCAGGAATAGCATCTGGTCTGCATGAGGTCCGCTAGTGCTGACAACTGCTGACCACTGTACCCCTCTGCCTCGCACACACCCACTAGGGAGCACAGGGGCTGCCCCCACCTTGCACTGTTACACTCTCCTGATAAGGAAGGTGGGTGATCTGTGGACTGGGGTTGTGCTGAGGCAGCACTCAGGGGATGCTGGGATCAGGTCTGTAATTGGGCGGCACTCTGGGGGGGGGCGGCACTCTGTGAGGGGGGACCTGTGAGAGGCACTGCTTCTTCCCCACCCCACCCCCTGGCACCTGGAACATGGCCACTTCTAACATTCTAGCCTCTCTTAACATTGTGCAGCTGCCCTGAAGGCTGTCCCTCTCCGATGTCATGTCCCCTGCAGTCCACAGGAGGATAGGTGATCTCCTAGGGCGAGTGGGGCGCCCTGAAGGCTGTGCCTCTCCAATGGTTCATGTCCCCTGCGGTCTAGGAGGACGGGTGATCTCCTGGAGGGTCCCCTGCACAATGAGCACTCAGGAAGCTGTGTGATCACTTGATGCGTCAGCTGTGGCAGTGATACGGGTTCAGTGGCTGGAGACAGCCCCAACCTTAGTCCAGAGAGACAGTGCTACAGTCCACTCTCCCATCAGCAATGACCTCATGACTCCCCTTCAAGGACTGAGGAAGGAAGCCACTGGAATTTTGGAGAAAAGACACTACCAAGGGTAGTCCCTAACAAAGACCGGGCTTTGTCCCACCAGTTGTAGGCTGGTGCTGACCTAAGGGGGACATCTCTTTTTTGGTTACACGTTCACAGCTGACCAATCAACAATTATGAACAAACTGTGGCACAGACGCCATGAGCAGCGGCCCTGCAGTGGGTGGGGGGTTCATTACTAACACATTCGTGAACCCACTGTGACGTGGACGCCATGAGCAGAGGCCCTGCAGTGGGGGTGGGGGGTGGGGGGGAGGCATTACTATCACAGTTATGAACCCACAGCAACGTGGACGCCATGAGCAGCGGCCCTGCAGTGGGTGGGGGTTCATTACTATCACAGCTGTGAACCCACAGTGACGTGGATACCATCAGCGGCAGCACTGCAGCGGGTGTGGGGCATTACTAACCCAGGACGGACAGAGTTAAGCCAGGACAGGCCGACAGCGGCTCATCCCAATGCAGGTGAGTCCTGAGAGGCGGACGAGCTGCCTGCCTGCTCTGGATGCCACCTCTGCTCATGTTCATCCGCACAGTCTCCCGGTGCCACCCTCACTCCTAGACCATGGCACTGGTGACGTACGTCCGGAGAACAGGAAGCCAGGATGTCAAAGGACAGTGAGCCCCGGACACTGACACTGGGCAGAGGAGAGACTGGACTCCACGGCTTCCACGGCAGTGGACCAGGCCCGGGGGCATCTGGCTCGTTCAAGCTTGAGAGGTCTCATGCTCAGGGTGTGCTAGGGCGGCGAGCATGGTGATCCTACAGCTAGGGCAGGGGCCAGAGCCGGGGCTGCCCACAGCCTCTAACGGAGACCCACACTGAGTTTCCTGGCTCAAGGACCCCCAGGAGGCAGGATCTGCTGCCTTTCTCTGGCCATGGGGTGCCCAATGCTGAGCACCCCGCCTTACAGGAGAGCCAGTCGTGTGTCACCAGGGTCACCTGAAGGCAGCGCCTGTCCCCTTCATCTGGGGGCATATCTACAATTCTATGCTCAGACGTGGCCTTTATGTTGTTGACAGCCTGGGACAAGACTGGTGCTTAGAACTGTCTGCTGACATGTGTCCCCGGGGAGTCACACCCTGCAAGAGGCGACGGGGTCCCTCGACCAGTGACAGCCCCACTGGCAAATGCTCTGGTTTCGGGAGAACAGTCACCCCCAGCCACCAGTGATAACCTGTACTGAGACCCCGAGGGGGCCCACGCAACACCCCGTGACTGCACTCTGGGGAGGAAGCTCGGGCGGCCTGGTGGTTAAGGAGCTGCGTGCCAACCTGGAGGCACACAGAAATCACCGGCTGCTCCACGGGAAAAAGGACGGGCCGTCCCCTCCTGTGCGATTTACTGTCCCTGAAAATCCCCGGAGGATCAGCTATGGATCAGGTCCACCTCAGCTGTACACAACAACAACAACAACAGCAAGCCTTACAGCACCTGAAGCCAGGGCACTGCCAACAGAAGACCGCACCCACGCGCAGAGCGCTCAGCTCACGACGAAACCATTCCGGGAACATGAACTCGATACCAAAGCTGCTCAAAGTGTTAGCGCCGGCAGAGATGGAACAACCCAGGGCAGGGCCAGCCGCTCTCCAGCTCTTCAATGAATTAGTCTCCAGGCCTAATTCATCCGCAGTGGGGAGAGCGGGACACATTATCTGTGTCTAATGAGGGCGCCGGGGTCGTGGACACTCCAGCCAATCCAAGGAGGAAGAGTGCGCACACTTTACGGGATACTGAATTCTCTTTCCTGGAATGCAGCAGAAGCCTCATCAATACCTCCGACGGACAGCGACTTTAACCTGGAGTCCAGGAGGAGGGCCGATGGCCAGCAGTGTCCAGCAAGCATCGCTGGATACGGGCTGGGGGACCACACTATGACTCTCCAGAGACGCGAGATGGTTTGCGCTCAGAAGACAGCCTGAGGGGGTGCCCAGCTGTTAGCATCCTGTTCCCTGGAGGAGGGTCACCTAGATTAACCATCATTTTGAGGACAAGGAGGGGAGTCCCAACTGGGGACATCCGCTCAGCCCAGGGGCAGGGCCAAGAGCTGGCCCCACAGTCAGAGAAGGCAGCGGCGGCCTGGTTCTGGGTCCCATGGTCGTGGTGACGGCGCCCTGACCCTCAGATGGCCTGCTATCTGCAGCTGATGACACGGTACAGGCAGCACAGTGTCCAGAGGGCAGCTGCCCGGCACACCCTCCCCCACCAAAATGGAAAAGTGCTAAAACAAGCACCCGGAACTCTGGGGACCAAATGGGGTTTGCTCCAGGAAACTTAATCTCCCAAAGAGCTACTTTTCACCAGACCCTGCGGAGGGAGGAACGCAGCGCACTCTCCGAGTCTGCCAGTGACTCAGGGGGGTAAAGTCCTCACCGCAGGGAAAGCGCGTCGAGAGCCACAAGGCGCAGAGACAGCTCTGTTGGCAAAAGCAGCTCACTCACATCGGACTTAGCCTGTCACTGGCCACACCACCCAGATGCTGTCTAAGTGGGTGCTGCCCACGTGGATGCTGCCTGGGGGACGGCGCTTGAGAGGATGCTGACAGCTAGTCCTGGGGACACTGCACCACTCCCTTCTGTGTGATGGTCATCCGGGCATCAGAGGCCACACTCCACTGAGAGGGCACTCCCAAGGCAAAGTCAAGGAGGGCAGGAGTCCCCAGGCAGGCTGCAGGCCTGAGGGACAGGGACACCGGAGCCAGGGCTTGCAGCAGGACCTGGATGAGCAGGGTGCAATCAGGGAGGTCTCCTGCATCTCAGTGGGGCAGCCCCGGGTGAGGGCAGAGCCGTGCGGTCATTCCTTCGGCCGGGCGCATGCTCACCTGGTAGGTGTCCCACAGGCGGACGGTGCAGCGCAGGGGCACCTCACGCATGAGGAGGTTGTTCATCCAGCGGAAGGCGAACTGCAGGTACTTCACCTCGTGCTGCTCCAGGTGCCGGTGCACTTGCTCTGCGGGACAAGCACAGGCCTGGGTCAGGGGTCTGCAGTCTTCCCAGTCCTGCCCCCGGCCCTCTCCAGCCCCCAAGGGCCCCTAAGGAGCAGAGGCTGCAAAGCGACAAGGAGGACAGTGATGTCAACAGCTCTGCAGCCTCCACCCCCAGGACTCCCTTGTCACAGGGGAGACGATGACGCTGCAGGTGAGACCAGCCCTGGGCAGGTGGGTCAGGCTACAGCCACACCCACCAGCCCCACAGAGAGGGGGGCAGGGAGAGGAGAGCCCTTTGCTGAGGCTCACCTGGCCCTGCAAAAGCCCACCCATTCCCAGACCTGACCGGCAAGTGCACCCTGGGAATGACCCTGGACCAGGCCTCGTGAAGACAGCTGGGCCTCTGATAAGAGTACTGTCCCCTGAGCACCATCACCTGGAAGCCATTAAGAAGCAAGAGACACGAGACACTGGTCCAGTATAGGACCCCTTGAGCCCCACCCCAGGCCCCTGCCCGACGCCCTGCCATTACAGGCCCAGGGTGCTCCAAGGTCAATGGAGGCCAGTGGTGTGCTTGCAGAAAGCAGATTCTGTGTCACTGGATGACCACGGCCAAGTCCGCCCCCATGGCCCAGAGCTTCAGGGAGGAGCCTGGGGGGACGTGTGGCCTCTTGGCCAGCCCTGCTGAAGTGACCAGCTCACGGATGGGGCTTTCCAAGGGTTCCGAAGAGCCCCATCTCTGCACTCAATGCATAGTGAACCCCACTAGGTAAGCACCTCATGCCCTAATTCCTCTTCAATCCGTGTCACGGGCAGTCCCTGTCATCGAAGCCATTGTAAAGGCTACTATTTGTTGCGGCTTTCATGTGGATTTCCACAACGACCAGTAAAGGGTTCTCAGCAATCTGAGTACTTTCTCTGGGGAAGATGTCCAAAACTTGGGGATTGTTTTCTAACTCAAATTTTGATAATCCTTCATGTGTTCATTTTTAAGAGGTATAATTAGAAAATATTTTCTCCAGTCTAGGGCTTGTCTTTTTATAAACTTAAGAGTGTCATTCGAAGTGCAGTTTTTAAATTTGATGATGTTCAATCTAGATTTTTGTTTCTCTAACAGACTACAGTTTTGGCACCTTTTTAAAGACTTTGGGTTTTTTCCCGAACTCAAGATCTCAAAGGTTTTCTTGCAGAAGTTTAATGATTTTCATTTTACTCCCAAGTCTAGGATTAATTTTAAGCTTTTAGGAATGTCTAACACAGGGTATGAATCCAAACGCCTTTTTATGACACATCACTCATTCTAACAGCAAGACTAGCATTTTGTTGAGGAAAACCCTCAAAACCTGTTTTCTCGGCCGTGGTGGCTCCGTCGCCCCCTGGAACAGCATCTGTACGAGCGTCCGCGGCTCCGCTCTCCAACGCCTTCCGCTTCACTGACCTTGTTGTTAATGTGGTGCCCAAATCACCCTGTTTTAACCCACATCACTGTGTGACTCTTGAACTCAAGTATGTTACACTTGTAACTTTGTATACGTTTTTAAAGTTACTCCTCTGCCTATTCGAGGTTGTACAGTTATCTTTTTTATTTTTATTTTTTGGATGTGAACTTCAGTTTATTAAATAGGAAAGCTATCCATTCAAACAGGAAAGAAGGATATTTACTTTCAATAACAAAAGTTTACAGAATACTCCTGACCTCCACAAGAAAAAGACTGATAACCCAATTACAAAATAGGCAAAAGATATGGAAAGAATTTTTACAGAGTAAGATACTTAAATGAAAAAACAGACACCTGAAGAAATGCTCCAAATCCCTGGCAATAAGAGAGATGCAAATCAAAACCACAATGAGGTATCATCTCACTCCAGTAAGAGTGGCAAAGTTTAACAGGGCAGCAAGTAATAGATGGTGGAGGGGATGTGGCCAGAAAGGAACTCTTACACATTGTTGGTGGGATTGTAAAATGGTGCAACCATTCTGGAAGGCAGTTTGAGGCTTCCTCAAAAAGCTGAACATAAAATTTCCATATGACCCAGCTATTCCACTGCTTGGAATATACCCTGAGAATATGAGAACTGAGGCACAAACTGAGATTTGTACACCAATGTTCACAGCAGCATTATTCACCATCGCATGAACATGCAAACAGCCCAAATGTCAAACCACAAATGAATGGATTAAGAAATTATGGTACAATCACACAATGAAACACTATGCAGCATGCAGGAGCAATAACTTTGTAAATTATTATGTAACTTGGGAGGGACTGGAGAGAATTATGCTGAGTGAACCAGCTCAGTCCCACAATATGGTATAAGACCACTATTGTAGAAGGAGTATAAGGAACCAGGATGGGTGAAAGGGGCTGGAAGCAGAGGGATGTGAATGTGCAGGGGAAGCGGGGTGGGCTTAATCATTGGGTTGTACAAGTTGATGGGGGGGGGGTGAGGGAACTTGGAAGAATTTGGTCAAATTTGTATTAGAACTTTGTAAATAAAGTAGGAAAAAAATTAACAAACATATGATGATACCTCATCCCCCACATACAGAGATCAGTCAAGTATGAGAAGTGTTATCTGAAGACAGCTTGAAAAGGAGAAACTCTTTTTCTGACAAAGCAGAATTCCTGGAACTATTTCCTAATTTTCCAGTCAAGCATGTGAATAACTGGGCTCATTCTCTTATGACTGCTGAAGGCTAAGCCAGGCAGTAGGTTGAGTTTATTATTCTGTCTTTGCATAAACTTAAACTTCCTAGATGTGTGTAATCAGCTGGAAATAAAATAACAGAGACAAAAGCCCAGTGTTTTCTCAAAAAATATGACAAATAAGACCCAGAAAATGATACTTTACATAGAAACATGAACATTAATGACTGTAAGTGCAAAGAATTTTCATACAGTCATTGTGCAATTTCGTTTTAGTTTGATATACACAAAATAACAAAGAACAAAAAAACTATGTCTAAATAAAAAAAAAGTTTTTAAAAATACCATCTATAGGGAAACTGCCCAAAAGGTCCTGGTGAGCCCCAAGCCCCTCACTGTGGAGGACACTGCGAAGGGACCCTGGGCACCCAGGTAACACCCAATATGACTTTCCTAGCCCTCTGCCACGTAGATGGGCGGAAAGACGTGAGTAGAACATGTTAGCCCGTCCACAAGAGGACTGGCTGGTGTCACCCATGAATTGAGCTGCTGCAGCCACAGAATTAGATACTCCCCGAATACCTAATAATATCTAATAGTGGAAAAAGGAGAAGGAAGAGAATGCAGCAAATCGTTCAGGCCCAGAAACTCTTGCTCTAGCGACACCGAGGGCAGCAGCAGCCATGGCTGGACCAGAGACACCAAGGGATTGAGCTACCTTGGGACTGCTACCCACCACGGACAGAACTAGAGCTGAGCAAGACGCCTTTCCCCAAGGCTGTCTGGTAATTTTAGAGGTGGGGGGTAGGAGATGGGGGTGGAGAGCCAACACTGGCATAACTGAAAACCATGTAACACTGGCCTTCAGCCACGAGCTCAAGGCTGCGGTGTCCCTGAGCACATTTCAGAACCTATCCTGACTGAATTATGCAATTCACCTGGCTTATAACCTTTTAGCTTCCCAAATATGACTCTTGGTGGTCTGTGAGTTATTGCGTCGGCTAGTGGACCCAGTAAAGCCGTAACGTAAGTGAGATGAGTAGAAAGGCGTGCAGGACCACAGGGGGCATGTCTGACCTCAGAAAAATTCATTTTGTGCTATTGATGTTGTTGAAGGGACAGTTCCCCCTTGTGAATTTCCTAAAGGTCCGAGATGGCCATCCCCATGTGGCTCTTGCTCTTCTTACAGTTTGTGTCAGAAGTGGGATTTGATGTGCTGGCTCCAGACTCAAGAAAATGTGGGATTTTGTAAGAAGTTAGGGTCTTGGAAAGTACCAACACAGCTACTATTGCTGCAACTAAAAAGAAGGGAAAAGTGAAATGACTTTTGGTCGAAGGTCATGTGCATATGAACGAGATACATTATGGGTGGAGAGTGAAGTTGAAATGGTTAATTCTTGGAAAGGTTTATGTGTTAAAGGGAGTGTTGATGGTCTGTTTGCTGCAATTAAAACAGAGGGAAAAGTTAATTGCTTTGGCCTGAGGTCACATGCATAAGAGTAAGTTACAGGCAGAGAACGGAGTTGAAATGTCTAACTTCTTGAAAGGTTCATATGTTAAAGTTTTTGTTCATTTAACTTTAGGAATATTGCTGAGGTAGTTTTGTGCAGTTGTTCATAGAGTAATATTAAGATATATTGTAACAATAATTAAGATGGTTGTTGACTATAAATGTTAAGATGTAAAATATAAATTAATATTGTGGTTGTGTGCCATCAAGTCACCTGCAACTAAAAAGGCTCTAAACCTTGTCCTATTCTGAGCAAGTCTCACCATCTCTGATCTCACTACCCCAGTTACTGTGTCAATTCATTTCATCTGGGGTCTTCCTATCCTGTGCTGTCCCTCCACCCTCCCAAGCATGATGTCGTCCTCCAAGGACTTGGTCCCTCCTAGCTATGTGCCCAAAGTATGTGAGAAACAGCTTCGAAATTCTAAGATGGACTTGTATGTTCTCTTGGGGGTTCTTCTCCAGCACCACAACCCAAAGGCATTGATTCTTCTCTTATCCTCATTTACTGTTCTGCTGTCTGATGCATAGCACATAATTGCAAAGACCATGGCCTGGACCAGGCACACCTTAGTTGTTGTTAGGTGTTGAATTGAATATGACTCACAGAGACTCTATGAACAGTGGATTTGAACCAGGTCCTGCCCTATGCCAAGTTCACACTTTCTGACACACTGGAGCCCAGTGCAGCAATCACAGTGTCAATCCACCTGGTTGAGGGTCTTCCTCTTCTTCACCGACCCTCCACTCTTCTAAACATCATGTCCCTCTCCAAGGAGCAGCCCTTCCCAGCAACATGGTAAAAGTTAAAAATATGAGGCGAAGCCTCATCATCCTTGCCTCCAAAGAGCACTCTGGCTGCACC